AGAGCGTCAAAGATAAGTTTGATGCTTCAGACGCTTTACGCGATACCGATTTAAACGAGCAGACTCTTTTCTGGTGGCAATGTCTACGTGATTTAAGAAATTTCCGTCAAAAGCTCAAGAAACGCATTCGAGAAGTGCCGTTCTTGGATATAGAGGACGAACTTTCTCGTCTGGACCAAGTATATCGACATATATCGATTTATTTATATATCCATAATATTTCTATGTATATTTTTTTATTATTTTTATTATCATTTTATCTTTTATATATTAATTATAATTTCATACATAAATTATTCTTTCTCGCGATGATAAATTAAGCAAATTGAGTTTTTATACTCCGCACAAACTAAACTGGATATGCATATATTAATCGTTAACCAAATTAACCAATCACACACAAAAATCGAAATTATATTTTTAGAAATCGTATAAAATACAAATTATGAAATTATGATTCAGAAATATGACGGAGTTCTACCTGAAAATAAAGTTTTCTCGATCTTTGAGAGGTATCATATATCTCCGAACAAGGAATTTCTCTTTCCGTTGATGGATACGTTGCTATTACGCAAAGACGGAAATATTAATTACAGAGAATTGCTCAATCTCTTCAATTGGAGATGCAATTTGCCAGTTCTGCCAAAGATGAAACGTAAATAAATTACGATAACTTCAATATTTCTAATTCTTTTTCGTATACATACATTTCCTATAAGATCAATTAATTAGAAAAATTAGAAAAGATAAATTTTTGTATAATAATTAATAACAATTTTAAATAATTTTGAAATCATATTCTAATTCTTTAATTTAATTCACAACGATATTGGCAATGGTATACAAAAATATTATTCTAGAAGCATCGTTGGCGAGTTCAGATTATATTACTACATACGGTGAAAGCATAGGAATCGTTCAAGCAACTGATAGCGCGAGTAAATATATTCTCTTTTAAATATTTTCATATCGTAAGAATATTTTAATAGGTGTCTCACGATAAATAAGTATTTGGAATATAAACTTTAGGAAATATTATAGAAATTCGCGCAGCTGGAGTTCCATCCGAAAGATCGGATTTTTCAATGACAATGCTACCACGCGCGGGCATATGTCCAGACAAGGAGAATTTAGGCGATCAAACTTCCGTTCGTTGCTTGATATCACCCAGCATCTTCACGAAATACGGCTTGACACATATAGACCTTTTTAAGGTAGATCGTCTCATATAGCGGCAAGTTAATAGCATATTGTCGTATCGATATAAATTTTTACTTTTAGTTAAATATAGACAATATTAAATTTACAATCAGAGCAAAAAAGTTTTTTCTCACGAAAAAACCTTCTGTTAATCTCTTATATAGACTCGGGACAGGGAAGAAATACGGGAAATATTCGAGAACGTTGGTTTCGAATTCCCGGAGGATAGTTTTGATGCGTTATGGCAAGAAGGACAGCGAAAGGATTGCACTGATGGTGTGTGTGTGGAAACATTTCGGGAACTGCTCGCCGCGTCAGATTTTGTGACAAAGAAAATTACATGTGGATAAAAATATACAAGCTCTTGGAAGCCGTATAAAAGATGTTTATGAGTAAAATAAAAAATATATATACCTATATGTGTATGTGTATAAATCGTATATTCCAAACATGACAAACAAGTAACATTTCACGCGATTTTCTTATAACAACATTATATAAAAATTTAAAGTGACATCATTAACTAATTATGATACAATATTAATATTTTTTTATATTGATATATTTTTATATAATATTAAGATAATATTATTATAAAAATATAAAGCTTGTGCATGCTAATATATCAACTTCAATATTATAAAAAAATTCAAAATGATATAATTAGTTTATGATGTCAAATTTATGCGTGCTAGTGTGTCAACTCCAATATTATATAAAACTTCAAAGTGATATCATAAATAGTTTATGATGTCAAATTTATACATGCTAATGTATCAACTTTTACTCTTGTCATTGTACAAAACATTTTATTAGTATACGTAATTATTATAATACCTATACAATTAATATAATTATTTACCAGATTGCAGATTCATTCTGCTGGTTTCAGAAATTTTGGTTTCTTCCCCATTGGTTCGTCATTGTAGTCCGTCTTGCTATGCTGCAATTTTCTGTTGGTTTTGTATTGTGGTTTTCTTTGCATAACATCAAACTTTGTTCGCATTTTTTGCCATTGAACAGTCATTTGCTCATCCGACACGTCAACTTCTTCCTTCGTTTCTGTTTGGGCTCGTTTTGCATTTTCTCTTGCTTCCATTATCTTCTCTATCATCGGATTCATCCCTTGAAAACTTAATCTACCATTGACAAGTTCCTCACAGAAAATATAGCTCGGTTCCATAAAAAATTTCCCACTTAAAATAAAATGTAAGCAATTGTTAGTAACGACACTATTACTGTCAAAATAAAATATTTTAGTCTTAACAATACACATTTTAATATTTAAAATCTTCTTTAGATAATTTATAATTTATAACAAAGTTTGAGACAAAATTCTATTTATAATCTTACGTATTGTATAGTATAAAAGTATTTGTATAGTAATTCATACATATATTAAGATATGTAATAAATAAAATTATAGATTTTTATAAATATATATTCAAACTTCATCGCAAAAGTGAACTTAAGACATCCACACAAAGGCTTGTTTATTTGCATTATTATTAGTTTAGATATAATATTTTGATATTTTAATAAAATAATGAAAAGTATACCTACGATGCTTCTTTCATACGTGATGTGAGTCTGTTGCCGAAGTACTCCTCTCCTTCCTCTTGAAGCTGCTGTTTCTCCACTTTGTCCTTCGTCCGTTTCATGAACTGCACAAACAAGCTCGTGTATTATCGTACAATAATACTCTATCTTGTATAACTTTTTTAGAATCTTTTCTCTTTCAACTTACCTTCATGTCCAATATACTTTTTGACAGAACCATCCTCTTCGAATCCATATTTAATTTGTATAGATACGAAAAAGATAAATATAATATTACTTGTGCGAGATAGTACAAATTTTAAAGACGATGATGGACGAAGAAAAATATCAGATACATGCGCGTGTTACGTATGTAATAAATAACACGGAGCTAAGCAGCGTAAACAAGATCGACCACCTAACCTGACCTCGTCACCATGCTTCGATCGCAGCGCTCTCCGCGAGCAAAACACGGAAAGTCGATAAGTACGATCGCCGTATTTACCGACTGTTAATAAGTATCGAGCGAGCTGTAGAATGTCACGTCTCGACGAGAGTACCGTTTTCCGTGCACACTCAGCCTTCTACTTTTGCGCAGCCATGACTTCCGTTAGGGAAGTTCACAAACTGGCGGTTCCCGTTGCCGTTCACGACTCTCGTCCACGAGATCGCAGAAGATGCAGAGACTGAACGCGGCGAACGATCTGGCACGTAAGGCGCGGCACATCGGGGAATGACATAGCGGTGAAGAATAGAGTCGAATGCTGCCGAAGGTGGACGTTGAAGCTTGAAAATCACACGTACCGAGGTATACCCGCAAGTGCGCGCGCGCGCGCGCGCGATCAATAACAACAGAATTGCTCTTTCGCGAATCGGAATAATTTGGAAAATCGTACGTCTTTATGGCGTACGATAGTCGTCTGATCCATGTCTATCTAACGCGATCTGAAAAGAAATTTCATCCTTATTACGTCTATATAGTTTACTTATGATCATAACTGCTAAATCATATAAAAGAGGTTAAAAAAAAAAACAGACGACATGTTAGATATTATTACCTTTCTTCTTTATTGATATAAAATTATATTTATTTTTTGTTTATATATAAGATCATACAGCTGAAGTCTTATTTGCCACTTGTGTCGAATATTGATGGCTCACATTTAATATTTACATGGATTTTTTGCTGATATTATATTTAACCTCCCAAGCCCTGTTCTGAACATATATGTTTCTAAATATCTGCATGATATAATAATATATATTGGCACTAGCGTCAAAAATAAAATCTTTAATTTTTAAATAGCATTCTGTAGCATTTTATATACTCTGAGATTCAGGAGATTAAATGACATAAACTCAGGATGTCTACTCCCTGGAAAAACATGGAGAATCTGAAATTCTCAGGAATTTCTTTTATATCTGGAACAATCAGAAAATTCTCATTAAATTTTATTGGGAGTCAGGAAATTTTTTTAAAAATTCTCTTTTTTGATAATGCTCTTATATTGTAAGCAATTTGCCAATAAATCAAGTGAATTATGTGTTTAAAATATATTGTGAATATATATCTATTTCTCTCTCTCTCTCTCTCTGTATTTTTAATTTTTAGTTATGAAAAAATGAAAATGTTATGCAAGTAAAAAATGTTCCTTACGAAAGCTTTTCAGTTTTTTTCAGTACATTTGCAAATTTAGCATTTGAAACCTCAATGGCTCTGTATTTTTCCTTTCGATGAGTGAAAAGCGTTAGAAAAAGCATAAAAAATATAACAAAAAAAATATTTTAGAAGGTTTCACCAAAAAATCTTAAATTATTCTTTCTACTTGGAATTTTGAACAAAAATACATGAAGTATCAGGGAATTGTTTTACAAGATTTGAGTAAACATCCTATAAACAATAAACTGTGCAGAAAAAAGAAAAGACATGTTTCCTTGTTTCAATATCTTGAATGAATGAATAATTTATTGCATTTATCGTTATTTACAGACATAACTATTTGCAAAGATGTCGAAACGATCGGCAGACAGTGGGGACACCAGTTCCCAACCAGCTATCAAAAAAGTGCAATTTGAGCCAATTCTAATCGGACCTATATCTACTCTTGAAGAGATGGATATGAAGGTTCTGCAATTTCAGAATAAGAAGCTTGCACAGGTACAAAAAGCTTACACTTTCTTTGTGCAACTAAAAGAAATAATATATAACTATAAACATGAAGAGAAAATAGAATAAGAAATTAAGCTGTAACAAAAAGATGAATGTGTAATATATATTATAATTATATATTTGCTCTCTTTTATACATACAAATTATATTTAAAATATATATGATTTAGTTTGCACACACACATATCATCTCTAAAATTTATTTATCAGAGATTGGAGCAAAGACATAGAATGGAAGCTGAATTGAGACAACGTATTGAACAATTGGAAAAACGTCAAATGCAGGACGATGCAGTACTTAATGTAGTTAATCGATACTGGAATCAGCTTAACGAAGACATACGTGTACTACTGCAGAGATTTGATGCTGAAACTGCTGACGAATCTGAAAACAAAAGTAAGAAGTTAAAAGAAATGCAATATATAACTGCAAAATTCTTTAGAACAAATTTTTTTAACAAAAATGTTCCTTTTTTTTATTACAGATGAGAGTGAAGCTACAACGTCATTTCTTATGCAACTATCTTCCTGGGATAAAGAAGAATTAGATGAGAAGTTAGCAAATCGTGTTCAAGTGTCAAAGCGAGCGGTGTCTAAAGTTGTACAGGCATTTGATCGCTTGTCTCAAAGAAATGAAAAGATTACTCTTGCACTCAAAGGGGAATTTGATGGCGGTAAATACAATATATTGATAGAGTTCCTTTTTAATGTCATGTTAGCGTGGTTCTTGAGCAACTTGAGTTAGATGCAAGCAGTTTATTTTATATAGTTTGTAGTGATACTCTTAAAATTTTCTGAAAGTCTGGAGGAACTTTATAGACTTATTATATAATCATTGCAAGAGAGATTGTATAATATAATTGATATATGATTGATAAATTGTATTATACAGAAGAGGCGCCAAATATTGACGAAGTTGTACGTCGCGCTAATGCGGAAATTCAGATGGAAAATAGGAATCTACAAGTGATAAACTTACAATTACATGAAAAGCATCACACTAGTTCATTAAAGGTAATTGACTTCTGTTTTATTTATATCAAATTTTCTAATTTTTATTTTATTAATTGTGTATTAACGCAACCATTGATCATTATAAATTTTGACTCAATCGAGGAGGCATATTGTTTCTTTTATTATAAAAATGTACTTATTCATAGATGTCACGGCTGCAAGATACTATAATGGGAAAAGATACTCTTGTGGCAGAATTGCGGAATCAAGTGGACGATCTGCAGTACGAATTGAACAAAGTGCGTGCGAGGAACGATAAATTGGAACATCATCTTGGTGAAGCAATTGAAAAGTTGAAAGCATTTCAGCAAATTCACGGTACAGACGAAAAGGGCAGCAATAAGCCGAATACTTTGGTTGCTTCCAGTGTTTCACAAACTAAAGTAAAATTTCTTCCTATATAAAAAAAAAGTTATATGTATATGTATTAATTTCATACAGAGTTAATTTCTCTAATATATATTTCATGTTTATAGTTGGAAGATTTACAAAGAGAACTTGAAGAGACACGTGAATTAGCTAACAATAGACTGCAGGAATTGGATAAACTACATCAGCAACATCGTGACACCTTGAAAGAAGTAGAAAAGTTGAAAATGGATGTAAGTAAATAATTTTTTCCTAAATTGTATTTACATATCATTTTAATATAACTTCACTTTGTGTTAGAGCTTAATGAATTATCTTTACAGTAAATACAAATAAAAGCAATATTGAATTTGTGCATTAAATGTTTCAGATAAGACAGCTGCCCGAATCGGTAATTGTGGAAACGACAGAGTACAAATGTTTGCAATCACAGTTTTCTGTGTTATATAATGAGTCCATGCAATTAAAAACGCAGTTAGACGATGCCCGCCAACAATTGCAATCGAGTAAGAATGCACATTTGCGCCATATCGAGATGATGGAGGTAAATATTTTGCATATTTAAAGCTTATACTTATGAGAATAAAAATCGATGCTTTATCTTTATTAAAATGATATTTTTCTTACAGAGCGAAGAGTTAATGGCTCAAAAGAAATTGCGTGGAGAATGTATACAACTCGAAGATGTCTTAGCGCAATTACGCAAGGAATACGAGATGCTTCGCATCGAGTTTGAACAGAATCTAGCAGCCAATGAACAAACAGGTCCGATCAATCGGGAAATGCGGCATCTCATTACCTCTCTTCAGAATCACAATCAGCAATTAAAGGGAGAAGTGCATCGTTATAAGCGAAAGTACAAGGAAGTTTCTACTGAAATACCTCGGGTACATATATATATCTAATCATATATAGCATAATTTTTACTTAACTTTTCAAATTTTTACTTCAATACTTTATTTATGCATATAATTATGCCAATCTTAATTTTATCTAAATAATAGAATTATGTGCGTTTATTTTCAATACTTTATATTAAAAATTTAAGTAAATAAGATAAATTTTATACATATAATAGAGAATTATCGTATAACATATAAATAAGATAAAAGTAAAATAGTTCTATTTTTATTAAATATTTTTAGTTAAAGAGAGAAGTAGAGGAATTGACAGCAAAATTAGGCCAGCAAACGTCTCAAGAAAACAAGGAAGGAAATAATTCAGATGGCAGTGGAAAAGAGGAAGATGCATCAAACTCCTTGCCAGGGTCTACACAGGTATACCAATATATAAACTTGAAAAAAAAAGATAATTCTGAAATTTTTAAAAATATTTTCTATGTAGTCGTTATTTTTTTATGCATGTGGTTTGTATAATATATGTAATAAAGCTCTGAGAAGTCTTCCCGAAATGTTACAATTAATGTATTCAACTATTTTGTTCGATTATGAAGATAAGATTCCATTTAACAATTACTATTATTTTTATATTAATTTTTTGTAATGTTGTGATAAATAGATAAAAGAAGAAAGTGGCGTTACAATCAAGAGAGAATCCGGTGCTGACGAAGAGGTGGAAACTATCGAAGTGGGAGAGAGTGAGGGTAACAAAGGGACACCAGATTCTCTGACGTTAACTTCGCCGACTTTAAAAAAGGAGAAAGACATTAAACGTGAGAAGGATATAAAAAAAGAATCTGTGAAAACCGAGCACCGCGATCCCGCACATCGCACCAAAGACGGAAAAATGGCAGAATCAGAGATTGTGAGGGACTTGAAGGCACAACTCAAGTACGTTCGCGAATATTTAGCATTCTAAAATGATATAGAAGATATTTTTATTGCGACAATATATAGTTTCTTGAAGAAATAAAAGAAAATAAATACCTGATTGCAGGAAGGCTGTGAATGAAATGAAAGAGATGAAACTTCTCTTAGACATGTACAAAGGTGTTGGAAAAGAGCAACGAGATAAAGTACAGTTAATGGCTGCAGAGCGTAAGACGAGAGCAGAGTTGGAGGATTTACGACAGCAAGTTAAAAAAATTCAGGTATGTTATAACAACTGTGGCATTTGATGTATGTGATAATTATATAATAAAGTAGCATGATAGTATAATAAATAAATGAAATAAATGAGGGATTACTGTTTTTGTATTTAGTCGATATTTGTGCTTCTTGATTGAGAAAGACTCAAATATTGAAATGTCTTATTATACAATATTGTTGGCATTATTCATTGCACAGACACTTGTATTCGTATTGGCCTTGTGCGCGTTTCATTCTAATTTAAATAATAATATAATATTGTAAATTATATGATTGTTTTTACAGGAAAGTAAACGCGAGGAACGTAAAAAGTTAGCCGATGAAGACGCGCAAATAAAAATTAAAAAGTTGGAGGAACAAGCGTACAACCTGCAACGTCAAGTTGCTGGTCAAAAACAGGTAGATCACTCTTCATAGACTTGCTGTATATTTTTCTTATAGCTTTTGATGCAATATATATAAAAGGATGAGAACCTTATATATGTATATCTTAATTAATTAAAGAGGTAAAATTAATTGAAAAATATTTGACTTGAGAATTATCTTGTTGTTTTTACCTTAGTAATCTTTGTTGTGCAAAAAATTTTATATCATCTTAGAAGCTCTTCTCAGTATTAAATCATAGGCGATATAATTTGAGTTACTGTGGCGTACATGAACGGAGATGTAACGCTGAACAGAATTGTGTATGGCTCCAGGAGGAAGAAGCGCTTCTGAATGAGATGGAAGTAACTGGACAAGCGTTTGAGGACATGCAGGAACAGAATTCGAGACTGATACAGCAGCTGCGTGAAAAAGATGATGCAAACTTCAAGCTTATGACAGAGAGAATCAAGAGTAATCAGCTGCACAAGCTCGCAAGAGAGGAGAAGGATGTGTTGAAGGAGCAAGTATCCACGCTGACGACGCAGGTGGAAGCAGCCAACGTTGTCGTGCGAAAATTAGAAGAGAAAGAACGTCTCTTACAAAACTCTCTCGCCACGGTGGAGAAGGAATTAGCTCTGAGACAGCAGGCGATGGAAATGCATAAACGGAAAGCGATAGAGAGTGCACAATCGGCCGCCGACTTGAAACTCCATCTTGGTGAGATTTTTTGCGCAAATGTTTATAATTATGTAGAAACCCAAAGTGTTTACAGTGCTTAGCAGACGATCTTATATATCGTTCTTGTCAAACAAGCTAGAGAAATAGACAAAGATAAATACTAATTGGGCTTCTGTTCTTTGCTAGTTATATTGAATTATTTATAGCTAAATTAAATTATATAATTAATTTATTTCGGTGTATTTTGTAAGAAAAAATTTTACACGATTTTTCTCGTTTCTGATGTCAATTCAATATATGATTGCAATGTGGGATCAGGAGCCTTAATAAAGACCAAATAATCTCGCTTCCAGCAAGGATGACGTAACACTTATTGTTACAGAGAAATATCATTCCCAAATGAAGGAGGCGCAACAAGTTGTAGCGGAGAAAACAAGTTCTTTGGAAGCTGAAGCATATAAAACTAAAAGATTACAGGTATACATTATGATGTAAAATACTATACTAAATCTATAATAGCTACATTTTTCTCTCGTGTGTTCTGAATTATTTATACATGTATATATCCTCACGCGAACCATTAATATTATATATGCATGTGAATTATATTGCAGGAGGAGATAGCGCAACTTCGACGCAAAGTCGAGCGTATGAAGAAGATCGAACTCGCCGAAACATTAGACGAAGTAATGGCGGAGGAATTGCGGGAATATAAAGAAACGTTGACGTGTCCTTCCTGCAAAGTGAAGCGCAAAGATGCCGTACTCACGAAGTGCTTCCATGTGTTCTGTTGGGATTGCTTGCGCACGCGTTACGAAACGCGACAGCGAAAATGTCCGAAATGCAACTGCGCCTTTGGCGCTAACGACTATCATCGACTGTACCTGTCTACATGAAGAAGAAGGTGCTGATTTGCTGAAAAGATTCGCCGCCGCGACGTAGAGTAACGTTTTGTAATGTGTTACGTACGCATACTTTTGTTTCTTTTTTTATATTATATTATATTGTAATCTTTTATTTATTACTCTGACTTTTTTTATGAAAACGGCGCGATTACACCCCTGATATGCGTTGATACGCGACTGTAAATCAAGAATTTTAGTGAGTTCTTATCAAGACCACTGCGCATGGAAAAAAGAATACGTAAATCGTAGAACTTAGCGAATAACAATCGAGAATTCTTGAGAACGGACGATTTGCTTATCGCTTAAGTTTATTATTTATGTTTTTTTTATGTGTTGTGGTCTTTATACTGCCGACTGACATAGGATGAACTCTATTTGGTGTTACAAATTGCCGCGAATCATTTCATTAATCAATCGAGACAAAAGATTTTTGCCTCTTTTGTTGTTAAATTGATTAATAAATGTTTTAGTGTTAGTAAAGCTAAATGAAGTGCATTCTTACAAATAGAAAAAGATAGAGTAAAAATGTGTCATGTACATGTATGCGTATATGAATGCAAGAGAGAAAGAAACAATTAGATTGCATTTTTAGTCGATCAGCGCGAATATATAAGCTGAGAAGCTTTTAGTTTTATAAGGTGATATAAAGAATGATTTATACTCGATTTATCATTTTGATCTCGTTTTTAAAGTAAACTTGCACGAAGTTTAAATCAATGGTTCCCAATTGAGTGATTACTATTCCCTGAGAAATTATGTTTCCTGTCTCGAAAGAATGTTTTTATAGGCATAGAATAGAAACATTCTGAAATTCTGAAATTATGGAATTGGTGATCACCGAGGAAGTTTGGGTAGTCACCGATTTAGATCGGCAATCGCGTTAGGCTGAAACAACTATATTGACTGAATCTGATTGATTGACTTGTTATACATCAATCAGACTCAATTGCTGTTCAAAGTTGGATTTGTCGAACGCGAGTAATGTTTGATTATATCTGTACATTGTGGAGGATAGGGATCGCATAATCACTTCTATTTTTATTATCGAATTGAGAACGTGAATTGAGAAGTCTCGAAGGAATGATCGAATTCATTTTCGATTACATTTCGGAACCAACAATTGGCAATTTATACGATAATCATTATAGCTTATAAAAAAATATTAATTTAATTCTTTAATCGGTATGGTTCACACAAAAATTCACTTTGTCTATTGCTTATAATATACGAGACAGGCGAACTGATATATAAACAGTAATGTCCTGTACAAGATTACTCGATATTATACAATAATAAAATGAACTTTGTTGCTAATCGTGAATATTTTAATGGTTTTCATCGAAAATTGCTTATTGGAATTGGAGCCAAATGAAATCAGCGAAATGAAACAAAAGATATATCCTAAATTTATATATTTTATTTAAGAACTGTGTAATAACACAATTCTATATATTTTTAAAAATAAAAAATGGATGAAACATAGTAAGAGAGAAGGAAAAAAAATATATATATATAAAATCTCAAATTAAGAAATATATTAATTTAAAAATTGCAGAGTGTCAATGTTATAGCAAACATTGTTTCAACATAATAAACTGTATTCATTATAAAATTGAAATAACTAATTTATTCTCCATTAACAATTTATATTTTCTCGTTAAATGGTTAAATATTCGATTACTATATTAGCTCATGTATCATATAGTATAAATCATTTTCGAATATTTTCGCTCGTACGGATACTATGAATGCAGGCATACATGTGTGTATGCATTCGCGTATCTCAGAAAAAGAAAAAAGAACTATGTAAATAATTTTAATGAAAACTTATCAGTGCATATAACTTTAATCGAATAAAATAGTCTGTTTTGTAGATCTTTATTTCACTCGATCGTATGTTCAAAACCATTTTTCTAGTTTTGATGAATCCCAGCTATGTTGTAATGTAAATAAATGACATATAAGACATCATTTAAATAATGATGTGTAAGTACGAAAAATTGTGCATCTCTATAAGGTATCCTACCAAAAATGGCTACCCCTTTTATCTTTCAAATTAAAAAAGATAGACCATAAAAAATATATATCAAATTGAATAGTCCAAACTGAACTCTATTGTGAGCATAGTATAATTTTTTTTATAACAATGTGGATATTTCGATACAATAAAAGTTGTAGCGCTATTTGTAACGAATACAATGTATGATTTAATGTAACTATTTTACATGTTATACGAATTTTATCAGCTTAAAATATTGCGGGCGACATCTACCTTTTTATTTTCGGCCCTGCGATATGGCCAACTTCTGACTCGTGCGTTAGAGATTGATGTATGTCATGTTGTCATTTGATCATAATACTCAAGTCAGAAAATTGGCCATCGCTAAATAACTTTTGTAAGCAACTACTATGCTCAATAAAGTTCAATTTGAAGCATTTAATTTGTTATGGTCTATCTCTGTTAGTTTAAAAGATAAAAGGATGTGGCCACTTTTGGTGGAACATCCTGTATATATCATGAATAACTAATGAAATTTTCTGGAGAGAGATCTGTTTCTTTTTAAGTTTAATTTTCCATGCAGAAAAAGTCATTGGAATGTATACTAATGTAGAAGCATTTGTGAAAAATATGACATTACACTAGAAAAAAAATAATTTTTAATTTTTTCATTTGAAGAAAAGCGTGATTTCTGAATTAATTTGTATAAAGATATTCTCTTGTTATTTTCATCCGAAACACTGCCTAAAAAAACTATTTTTAACTACTTTGCATTTAGAGAACCTGTAAAAATTGGCGAGAAATACTTTAAACTTGTTTTTTCTTATCGTTATTATATATTGTGACGATATTTTATCCTTTGAGACGCATCTCTTATTTTTTTCTATTTTTACTCGTTAAATTCTTTTTATCAACTAGATGAATCGATAAGCACGTCGAAACAAGAAGTAACACTTGTATCCTTCTTTATATTATAAAATTAGTTAATTGTGACAACTTTGTATTATAATTGATATATGTGAAACATGTGTTAACTATAAAAGGGATATATATTTGATAATGAAATCGAAACATACAGCTCCTAATAATTAATGTATAAGCGGCGAGAAAAATTTTTTTGCGTTTATTACAGAATAATTTGTGAATCTAGTGCTCTATTTTTTAATTTCTAGAAATTAAAAATTGGAACTTTTAATTATTCCTTCTTTTTGAACTAATTTTAATTGTATAGGAGATAATATAATACACACATCGCAAAATAAAAAGCAGATATATATTCAATCTTTTCTAGAAAAAAAAGAAAAAGAATTAAAAAAATATATTTTTTATTTTTGATATACCAAAAATATGAAATTTAATACAAATTTATAAATGCATAACTTATAAATTCGAAATTTTGTTAAAATTTTTGTTTTAAGAGAATTTAATATTATTATTTATAATATATAAATTAATTATATTCATATAATCTTAAAAATTATTACAATTTATTAATATATATATTAGAACACAATATAGATACGTTTAACTGAAATATAGACTAAAACTTTTATGGAACAACGACCTTAGTCCATGTTTCAATTGAACGTACCATTTATACAATATATAATATTAATAAATTATTAAATAATAAGCAAAATATTAAAAATTAAACGAACTAATCTATTCTCTGTCATTTTGAACAAAATAAACTTCTATTTATTTTAACATTTTAAGTTGTTTGAAATTAGTTCAAAAGTAAATAATATATTTCGAAATAAAGCATGTGTAAAATCATACATATAAGTAATTGTATATTTGACGTGGACTCTCGGTGTCATTATAATATATAATTCTTGTTCGGAAAACATAAATTAAATGTAAATATATATAAGTTTTGTTGAACGCCAATAGCAATACAATTCTATTATATCAAGATTAAATAAAAAATGCAGAATGGATGATAAATTATTCCATTTAAATAAAATATCAAATATTATTTTTTCTACCGCAAGCCTTTGCTCATATTTTGATGATTTCAATTCGAACGTTTGACTCTTATTTAATTGTCAATAGCAAAATATATTTTGCATAGGATGTTTTTTCCTTCCCGTTAGAGAATGAGAATTGGAAACGGAAAAGGATACGGAAAGTCACATAAATAATTCTGTTCAAACCAGTTAGTCGTACGAAATTCTTTCGGATTTTATTCTATCTTAAGAAATTTGTTTAAAATCCTAAGAAACAATTCTACATAAGCTTCAAAGTATCAACGAGAAGAGCCTAGTTCGATCTAAATCAAATTTGTTTTTTGTTACAAGGTTACCTTCCGCGAAAACCTGCACCGGTCCTGATACGGAGACACAATGGCCACACGGTAAATATTATGGACAGGCTATTTTTTCTGACGTGTATTATATGTATATATCGAATAAAACTTCCGAGAGATACGCTAGGAGTAGAAGTATGTATATCTAGTGCAACTCTCCTGTAAGAAACAGCTGATTTGAAAAAGAAAATTGACAAGAATTCATTTTGTGAGGGATTGTAATATGTTCTAATATTCTTAAAATAATTAGATATCGGTTATCTTTTTTTGTATCTTTTATTTGTTCTATGAATGTGAATTTTACACAAAACTGTTAATTTTAACTATTCAATAAAAATATATAGTTACAAATTTTTTGCATTTCGCATATTTAATCATATCGTTGCATATATTATATCATTAGTTAAATTTTTAAAAATTATTTCTAGTCTAATTGCTTATAATAATGCGAAATGATAGCAATAATCTAAGAATGGAAATGAGTAACAAAAAATTTTCAAACGTTTTTAGTAAATCATTGATCTCTGAAGATTAATAATACAATTTTATAGACTGAATTCCGGTCAATTTCTTTTAATCCGTCTATTTTTCGCAGGGATGTAATAATGCGGATTAATATTTAAACATAAACTTTTAAATCTTCGATCATACTTTTCTTTCCTCATAGATAAAATGTTCGCACGCAAAGATTTATCCTTTCTCTTTTTTTTTTTTTCTCTGCCTTTCTCTGCTTTTCTCTCTTTGCACATGACTATTTCTGAGATGCAGTATATATGCGATCATTCAGTAAATAATATCTTAAGGCTCCTGGTCTCTTTATCGAAAATATGTAAATTTTTTCTTATGAAATACGTCGAAATAAATTAATATGCTACCACTTGCGTTTAATAATATATAGATTGGTAAAATATCGAAGAGACTCTCTTTTCGATTCGTGAATTAATAAATAATCGTAAAACTTCAACACATTTACCATAAGATTATTTTTGCTTGTAATATGTATATAGATCAAGTTATATGTGCATTTATTGTAATGCAAGATAATAAAAAGGATAGCATGCGAAAAGATTAATTTATTTCGATGTAATTCGCGAAAATAGAATTTGTTTTCCCGTTTCCGACGAATCATAATACAATATAATTGCATAGAGGAAATAGGAGCCTTAAAACTCTTCGGATTAAAGTACACAATTATACATAAGAATAATTTACGAAATAAAAAGTAAATAATAAATCATGGCAATAAATTATAGTATCCCGAAGCTATAATAATAACACAATTTGTGATAGTGATTTACATATAATTATGCTAATTATATAGTAAGCGATCAAAGTACATCAGATATATGTGAAAAAAACTTGGAATACTAAATAGAAAAATTAATTAGAAATAAATTGAAAAAAATAATGCCTCTCTATTCTAACTATATCTGTGAAAATATAAAAGTGAGAAATGACAACACAAATATCGCGAAAACAGCAGGCATATTCTGCAATAAATATTTGATTCCGTATAAATTCACAATAACTATATTGTGATAGAGAGACAAATCGATCATTTTAATTCGATCTTGGATACCATTTTATTCATTTCGACTACGTTACTTGAAAAATTGGACGATAAGAGTACTTATCATCCCGAATATACTTTGTAAATCAATAAAAGCGGAACTCTAAAATCTCGATGAACGATATTTGTATAAAAAGCATATTACCTTTCTCTTTTTACAGAACCAAAAAAGTTTATATACATATTTCGTGGGTATGTCTTTCTTTCCAAGTTATTCTATAATGCTGAGACAATTGTTAATAATGTTATATATACAAGCTACTCCATACGCACACACAGATTCACTGCATCTCCTTCCTTTTTCTTTCACAAAAAAAGCTGTGAGCATGCAAATCAGTTGTTCCAGCCATTTTATCAACCACATAGTCTGAAAAAATGCAAACTCATTTCTTTAACAAATAAAGATTTGATACAATGCATGGTATAATGTTAAAGATAAAACAATTAATGGAAAGCAAATATAGGTTTCATCCTATCAAATTATTCGCTTGAGAAAAAATTAATCTAAAATTTTTGAAAGGATATTATCGTTAAAAGAGAAAGCAGTGAAATTTTTTAGGGTAGACTGTAAATGTATAATATTTATAAACAATATGTAAATTATTTCTCTCGAATACATCATCATCTTCAAATACATGTCACAAATAATTTGCTTATTTGAAGGGACTAAAATATTTTTCGATCAAGAACATGACCGATCGCATTTTAATTGACGCCCTTTATCATTCATTGCTTTCAATTATATAATCGTAATTATTTCAATTTTTTCTCGTATATATTGCTTAATGTTGATCAGTCTGCACTGATTAAAGTATGCAAAATTATCCTCGACAGAAGGTCGGTTTAACTCTTTGCATTTGGACGTTATAATACAACTCAAATAAATTCAAATAAAATTATTTAATATTATTATATAATTATTATCTCCCCTTCCCATCTCTCTCTCTCTCTCTCTCTCTCTCTCTCTCTCTCTCTCTTTCTCTCATTTAACATCATAGAATAACATTTTTGTCGCATTAATTTTGCACTTATTATTTTTATGGATAATTATTATTAAAATAGTCATAAAATAAAGTCATTAAAATTATTACATATAAATCCTTTACATATACAAACAAAATATTGAATTAGACAAAAAGAGATAAAACAGATATATATGTGTGTATGTATATAATTTCTTCTCTTCATGGTAATTAATTTTTTCTCCCCATTAACTTAATTTAATCTTTTATGAATTTTCTCTTATAAGAGAGAGAATTTTCTTTTAATAGTAATGATACAATTAACTCGATTAAGATAGATCGGTCGAATGCAAAGAATTAAACCTATATTATTACCCATATATATTAGCAATATCCTCAATCGCGACTGTTCTTCTCTTGGTGTCGTTCGCTGTATCATTCGATCGATGTTTAACAGTAAAGAGTGTCCGTACGACTGTTATCACTCAAGAAAAACACGTTCTAGTTGTTGCGCGCTCGAAACTATAAGCTGTATCATTCTTGCGTTTCCTCTTTAGAACTACGGCCCTTTTTAGGGGGTACTTTTTAAATATGTGTATAGAAAATGCGCAAGAGATGTTTGAGAAATAATACGACGTTTTATACGACATTCTTTTTTAATGAAAAAATCGTACCGAATTTTTGTCAGAAAAAATCGTACAAGAAAAGATTGCTACAGCTTCCTAAATCTTATTCTGCAAGCGGGATGATTATAGTTGATGTTTCTTTTTTTGTTTTTGGTTTTTCCTGAATTACGTGTATACGCTAAACTCAAGGCACCATTAATCTTCTCGCTTATCAAAAGAGAATAAAATATCGTCTGACTTCTGATCACTCTATATGTGTAGGTATGTATATGTGTGGAATATCGCGATATTAATTATTGAGAATGACCGTCACACACAATGTTCGCTCTTTTAATTTATATAATCCTTACAAATAACTAATCTGTTATATAAACCGTTAAATTATTTTAACGTTTTTTCATTTCATTCAAGTCTTGTTCTGTTTGTGCTCTCCAGAAAAAAATATTTTTTTCAATTTTTCACAAATTACAGAAGATATAAAAATGTTAAATACTAAACTTACACCAATATATTGATGTATCGTGTTCAAAAATTCAAAATGTCTACAAAACTTGGGATTTCTTCATTATCTAAAAAATTAAATAATCACGATACTTCTCAAACACCTCTCGTAACACTCGATGCATCCAACACGAGCCCAGCGAGACCCACGTTGTTGCCACTTCGATAGCTCGGCTCAAAAAGCAAATAATTTGAAATTCTGCATTATAAATTCATTTTCTATTTTTTCATCTAGCATTTTATTAACATTTTATTTGCAATCTTGCGTAGAAGATATATATACTATCTATGCTCCTTTATAGTATCTAAAATTGTAAAATTGTGTGTGTTGTATTTAATCGATTGGAATATTGAATTATTCAATTCCGTTAAAAAAATTTAAATGTATAAAAAGAACAATATGAAAGAAAAAAATATTAAAAATTTTTGAACAGTTTTATCAGAGTTTTAACACATTAAAAACTTATATATTTTTATCTATTTTTTCTTTTATTTTTGAGTTAGCTATTTTATGTGCAGGATATAGTAGTAATCTTTCTTCGGGCAAGGTTGCAAATAAAATGATAGAACATTAGTACCACGTTTCAATAATATTCGAATAGTCATTAGATAAAGACTTTTTTCCACTCTTCAAAAAAAAAAACGATGTGACCAAGAGAGAGAGAGAGAGAGAGAGAGAGAGAGAGAGAGAGAGAGAGAGAGAGAAGGATATGGATCAAAAGGAATTGATAAATATTTTATTCTTTAAATCACACACACACAAATGCTTCATTTTTGAGATGAGCGATGGATTAAAAATGTTGCTTTCATTTGTTTTTTTTTCAGTATTTTAATACTATTCTATATCTTGCACAAATAATAGAAAAATTATAATCTTTCCTATTTCTTCTCGGAAATAACGTGTTACAATATACATATAAAATCCATTAATATCCAATAGAAATTTAAATTTAATTTAATAAAAATGCGTACTTTTTTGTATATATATATATATATATATATATATATATATATATATGACTGAAATTTCGCGGGACGTCATCTTCTTGAACCGGTCCATCGACTTGCGATAACCCCGAGAACAACGTGGGACGTGCGCTCCAATTCCAGTGCAATATATCGGTACGAGATCTATTTTTATCTATAAGTTTTTAAATACAAAGTGGACTACCGGTATGTAACTTCGACACTATGCCGCGAGAATACTCATTCCTCGTGTAAACGCCTCGTTTACGCCCGACATTTACCCTCGGAAGCCGAGGCTCGCGATAGAGAGAGGGGTTTTCTCTCGGACACGATATCACGATAAGACAATGCCGATGAGAGAAATAGAGATATCGGATAAAAACGTCACGCGCAGAATGTCGAGCGTAAAACTAAGCTTGAGATGACGCTGCACCATCAAAATGGAGATCGTGCTCGAGCCGCGATATCATATAATTACTCCCCCCACGGCGTGGTGTATCCCCACACGAGACTATTTACAGGATAAATACATAAAAATTTGTAAGAGAGTCTTCTTTTGCAAGAGAGACGATTTTTTTACGCATGTTCACTTGCCACCATAAACATAGTAACGCCACCGTCAATGTCTCTCCTCTCCCGTCACTCTCAAAACAAAACGTTACTATTATAGTTTCCTATTTGTTCCTAACTGTTCTATCCGCGATCTTTCAATATTTCGGAACCGGAAGGCGGCCCGTCGCCTTAACACTTTTTCGAAGCACCATCTGAGGGAATAATTTCTTTCTATTATTCTTTAACTGATTTTTCGACTGATACGTCTCGAAATACGCTAAGACTAATAAACAGTTCTTTTATTTTTCTAGAATGTCTCATCAGGATAATTTGCAGTAATGAGACGATTTTTCCGTCATATTGATACCCGCGATTGTTAAATTCTTTATCGTTCTATCATGATTACAAGCTAAACTGTCATCTTAATTCTTGTTCGAAGTTTCGCCTTCTGTCATCTAACCGCTTTTCCATCGTTTTTCTATGGAGCTGCAAGATGAGAGAGATCTGTGACTTAATACTCCTTCGAAACTCTCGCACTCTAAAATTAGTGGCTAACTGTTCCCTCATAATTTCATCGTCCTATCATCGTTCCGCCAACAGTTTGGAGCTCTATAAAGCGACTAATTACTTTAACATTCCTTCGCAGATCTAAGCTGTGATATATTAGCTATCTTCATCATTCCTAGTTTTCTGTCATCTTAATACTGCTGTTCAACGAAATGCTGAGACAGTTGGCGATCTATTCATTCATTCTCGCTTTGTTTCGTTCTTCCATTAATGACTTAAAGTTGCAAAGAGTGACTTTTTTTTTAAGCACAATGCAACCATTTCCGACTAATTGTTTCTTCAATTTTTCTATAATTATTTCTTTAATATTTCAGAACAATATTAAATAATTCTTCGTCATCCTAAACGCTATGATTCGGATAATTGTTCCGTTCTGTCTTTCTTCAGTTTTCATCAAGTTTCGGAGCGACTTATACGTATCGACTTGACGCAACACTTTAAAATACAATTAAGACTATTGACAAACTTCTCTTCTCTCATCTCATACTATCGTTTCTTCATTGACCCTCCAAGGATTTGAAGGCACGAGACGATGTGTCACATTGCTACTTTTTCGAAATATAATACTAGAACCGTTGGATAACCGTCATGTTCATCTGGACAACACCTTGAAGCAAGGAGGCGCCGATGAATGTCATCGCAATCGCATGATTCGCTAACGAAAATAACGGAGACCGTGTTCTCAAAACTTAGCAATTAAAAACATTCGTCATTCGAGCACACTTTTTCGCGCATTCACGTGCAGACGAACACTTTTTTTTACGCACACTGATTGCGAATTCACATCACCGATTATTATATAACAACGACACATTAGCACTATGAATTATCATTCCACGGAATTGCCCTCGTCGTAATGCGAGAACTTGAGGAATACTTGTTCCAGAGTAGTTTGACTAAAGCTATATTCCTCTATGTCCAGTTCGAGTTTGGCTGTAAACAGAAATTTTTATGAGTTACGAGGTCTCCATCACAACTGACTTTTGCAATAAGCCTAAAGCCTTAAATCCTACATCAGGCGATGAATTTCAAGTTATAGTCTCGAATCTTTCATTTCGTTAAATCTCTTCTAATCGAAGAACTTCTAATTTAGATAAAAAAGAGCCAAGCTTTATAATCTCATATTATGTAACTTTTTTAAATGCTTTTAATTATTATTAAATATGTTAATTGTGAATAGAGAAAATCTCCAAGTTTGAAGTCTCGCAAATTAGAAATTGCTCGATTTGATAAAAATTGCTCATATTAAGACTTAAGACCGACTGTGATTACCAAATAATTGTCAGTTGAAAGACTTCAGATTAAAGACGTTTAAGTTGAAATATTTCCATGCGAAAACCAATAAAACTAATTTCTCTAATTTTTTAATTTTTCTAAACGTTCTTTAGATATTTTTGAAACGTTTTTAGATTTTTTAAAATTTTCTTTAGACTCATAGCAAGCCGCCGATTATCAAATTTTGAAGAAACTTTTTCATCAAATCACTATTTTCTCACCTTTCTCCAACTGCATAAAGCACTCGGCCAGCGAGTTCACAGCGTGTTGGGGCACGGCGAAGACCACCCGATCGGCAAAGCTTTCCTCCAAGGTGGCGTCGGAGAAGAGGCCGGCGACAAATTCTTTCAAGCTAGCAATTCTATCGCCGGAGGGAGTTGTTGGTGTGCAATCGCCGCCTTGCAGCTTCATCTCGAGAGTGTAGCCGGCACCGTAGAGATTCTTCAGGTGCTGAGTCGAGCCGATGCATCTCAGCTCACCCCTCACCATTATACCGACTCTCGAACACAGCGCATCGGCTTCTTCCATAGAGTGGGTAGTTAATATGGCTCCCCTGCCACCCTGTGTGTGTGTGTTGACATTTAAGAAAATATCCTTTATTTAAACTTTTATTCCCCATCTCTATCAATATTCTATTTATTTCTGATAATTTTAATCTTTTAATTATATTATTTATTTACATATTAATTTTATATTGCTAACTGCTATTTCCTTTTCCTTAAACCACTTTGAAACTAGCAAGAATCGTGTCCCATAGGAATCTCTTTGACCTAGGATCCATGCCTGTGCTTGGTTCGTCCATCAGAACCACCTTGGGTCCACCGACCATTGCCATCGCGAAGCTGAGTTTTCTTCTAGTCCCACCGGAACATTCTTGAGTCTGCTTGTCGGCATGTTCGTGAATTTGTAGACCGGACAGATATAGATCCACGATTCTGTCACACAAATCAAGTAAAATAAATTAGATAGTCATATTTATGAGACTATGACAAGAAAAGTGTATATGATAATCAAACGATGTTTTATACATTAGAAATTTACATTAGAAATACATATTAGAAACACATCTATATTTTAAAATTATATTTAATAATACTATACAATTTTAGATGCTGAGTTTTAATGCGCGTACTAAATAAAATTTTTTTCCAAATCTATAATGATTAAGCTATTTATAATTCACTATTTTATATCTGAGAAGCGAGTACATCTCACCAACTAGATTACGATAATATTAAAAGATCCTTCTCACCTATTGACATCGCTCCATGGAACCCCGCGAATCACGGCATAGCACTCGAGATGTTCTCGCACGGTAATATTTTTCCATTGAGCGACAATAGCCCATCTGCCGGAAAGCATCCGCCATGTGGGTGTTGATATTGTGGCCGCCGATTTGTACCCTGCCCCTCGTCGCCGCTTCCTCGGCAATGATAATTTTCATGGTCGTGGTTTTGCCGGCGCCGTTGTGGCCTAGCAGACCCAGAACCTCACCCGGTTCTACCATCAGCGAGAGATTTCGCACGGCGATCTTCCGTTGCTTCTGCACGACCTCCTCCTCACGCTTCAAGCAGCAACTGCAGGACGATCCTACCTCTCGTTGACAGTACTCTTTTCGCAGGTTCTACATTTGTGTATTTTATAGCGTAAAACAACAAATAAATATTTGCTCTAAGTTAAAATAAAAATAATTAAAGTAATTAAGAGTTTTGTCAAAGAGATAATATTATTTGGATACAAATAGAGATTTAGTTATAGTCTGAATATTTTGACGTCATGTTTTAAAAGTCGATATGATAAATTAAACAATCAAAGTTGTCAGAGATAAAACTTTGATTAAAATATTGAAATGTAAATATATAATTATTGGACTATTATTGATATAACTATTTTGTTTAAATGAAATTTTATCTAAATGCTTTACAAAATTTGCTATTGACGATCTGGGTCTCTATTCATATATTATAATAAACAATAATTCGATTTGTATTAATTTACCTGGACCAATACTACAGGCGGCTCTTGAACGGCCGATGATGTAATAAGGTTGAAAACCTTTTGCCGCTCGTTTTTCACATCCGTATCTTCATGTTCACCGATGTCAGGATTTTCCATTATTTCTTCATTAATGGAGCCACCATTACGCTACAAAAAAAGTGACGTCTTATTTCCACATAATTACAGAAATGTCAAAAATATTTTTAACGATTTTTTAGAATATGTTTTTTAAGACTTATTGTTAAGTGAACTGTCATTCATTCAAACACTCCGATTTATACTTTAAAATTAAAATTAAGAACAAAAAAATGTAAGAGATAACATAAAATTTGTGCTAACCAGAAAGTATTTGAAGAAATCGCTAACATTGCCGCCGCTCTTTTTAATGTCCAATAGAAGCAGAACGAAGAACCAGAGCGGGATGTGCAACAGCGCGCCGAAAGCCATCAATATGATCTCCGTGGTGAGATAATCGGACATAGTGAGATGTTGGCAGACGGCATTGATAGAGCACACCACGTAAACGCGATCCACATAATATACTGCTGCATACGGCAAATACATGGCATTCAACAGTGAGAAGACCACGTGCAACGCGAACGGCGCTGTTCCACCTTGAGCAACAGATAACATAACGTGGTGAATAATCTTGTAATTTTCATAATGTGTAAAGTTAATGTTACCAATCTTGGTAAATATATCGATGAGTAGATAAATAGAAAATAATTAAAGCTTGTAAAAAAAAACAACAACTATTTGAAAAATATATGAAGTTTTATGGAATCATGACACATCGTAAATTGAAATTTAAAGTCAAAAGTTTGTAAAGAAGATTTATAAAGATTGTTTAAATCTAAATGTGTGTATCTATGAGTATCTAATGTGTGTATGTATGTGTAATCATCTATGAGTGTCTCGATTATAATATATTTACCGATTCCCAGCATATCAAGGATCATGACGAGGAGGAACGGTATCAGTCCGAAGAAGGTCGCGATGTTCGGCAAGATGCTTTGCGCGGAATCCATCTTGTCAAAGATGTAGCTGAGGCAGGTCGAAAAGAGAATAGACGATGGGCAGTAGAGCATGAAAAGAGTGCCGAGGGTGATAATCGCCGGCAGCTCCTGTAGCGAAGGCACTTGGAAAATGAATATAATGCCGAGGATGCACAGGCAGATGAAACTCATCAGGCCAACCAGGACGATAAAATAGCTCAGGAAGTACATAGGAAACGACAGGCCATTCACACGAAGCTGGTTCTTTGCTTTGATCTGAAAAAATGTAAACAATTCATTAAGCCAATATATTACATAAGATCTCCCGGAAGAATCGCATCATGTTTTGATCGCATATATTTTATGAATCTTTATCGCTTGAGATCTTTTAAAAACTAGAAAAATTTAATTACATATGTAATTATACATATGTAATTATACATATGTAATTATACATATGTAATTACATATGTAATATCGAAAATAAAATTCTAGCAAATTTAATTCGTTTGAAATTAAATGCATGTAGAAGAAAATTTGTATTTCGTCTAAATTCAAATGAGTTAATAGATTTTTTATTCAACTTTTAATAAAATATTTAGCGGTAAAAAAAATATTGAATATGAAGAGTTTTAATAAATAATAATAAAGAGTTTTAACAAATAATCTATATATAAGACAGAAAGATAAAAATTAAAATATTTCATGTAACAATGTAAAGTCAGAATTTGAAGACGAAGCTCTTACCTCGCGATCGTAAACCATATCTACTGCTAGAGTAATCGGCAATAACACGAAGTCCATACCGATAAAGAGAGCACAACCGGCCGTACCAATGTTGAACCCTTGAGGTTGCGATCTTTGCTGGAAGGGATGCGTTTTGACTTCGATCCGCGTAGGATCGTTCTTGTCTGAGATCAATCTAAATAAAAATTTATAGTTTGTAAAAGTACTAATCAATTTAAAATTTAATTTCAACAAATCTGCTTTCTCTAAACTGCGCAAACTGCATATTTTTGTTTATGCAATTAAAAAAAATTAAAGATATAAATTTGTAGTGGTTGTGTTGCCGAGTAATTGTTAATTTACAATATCATCTTTTTTGCCATTATATATTGTTCAAAATTTTTCCACAAAAAGATCTAATACTTTCGGTATCTTATTAAAAAGAATTCGCGTTTTAAATATATTGAAATCGCTCAATTTTCTTTATTCACTCTTACCTATAATAAGTGTTTGAAAGAATGTTTATCAAGATCGGAAGGGAATGTTGCATCGTATCATTGTAGATGATGGTCATGTTGAATCGTGGCAGATGATAATCATTAATATTGAAGGCAGCTATATGCGGCGCAATGTTCAATAAATTTGCGAAATTGCCGTCGTATTCCTCGATATGCATCGCGTTCTGAGCTATACCGTCCGTCAACTCGGTAATGGCGCGGTCGGTGTTATTTATGTAGAGAATCCTGGTTTCTTCGCCGTATGTGTCTGCAAGAAGATATCATTTAATTCTTTAAGTAACAACGGCTCGTATCATTAATTTCAAAAAAATATGACTTGTATTTCGTAAAAATTATAAATTTTCTTATACGCGTTTTCTCTTCTTCATTTTCCATAAATTCGCAAATGTTGTTGAACCTCGATAAGAAAACGGCTCTTTATTCTAAATTCTACATAATGTCAAAATATATTATGCGCTACTTATTTTTTCTACGCGATTTTATTCGTATTTGCGAATTTATGGACATCTATCCAAACACGTAAACGCTCTCTTATATTTCTATAAAAGTATAATCGTGAAACAATGTACTCTGTAATTAAGACAATTAATCGATTTGGAAAAGATATTTTAAAAGCTAATATATTTTAAAATCTATAGCTATATGTATGAAATGTGCAACGCTAATTTCTAAAGTAAACTGAGTGCGCAGATAAGAAAACGAGTCAAACGATTACTTCCTACCTTGCATAAGATGCAACCACTTACGGTTATTAAGTTCCAGCGACTGCATCTTGATGCCGACGGTCTGGATACTGTGCAGATAGAGACCGAGCACTATCAGAGCTAGCGGCATGAGGATCGTAAAGTACAATAGCTGGATATTCCTGAGGAGTCTGAGCACCCTTAGACGTAGCATGGCGTAGAGGGTCTGAAGGAAGTTAGGCCGGATCTTGATAGGATCTAGGCCGAGACCAAGCACAGGCGGATTTCGGTCGTTATGGACGCCGTCTGGCAAATCGCTCACTGATTCAATAATATTACGTTTTATAATATTACGTTATATTATCGTTAATTGATGGTGAAATAATATTAGATAATTCAGTTAATATTTAATATATATTATTATTATATTATATTATATAAATAATAATTGTGAGTTTAATTCCTTAGATGTGGAAGATAGAATTATTCGTTTGCAGGAACTTTAAAGATATAAAGAATGTAATAAAAAGGATACCTTTTCCTTGACTGTCGCCTTGAACGGTTACTCCCTCGTTCTGCAAACTCTGATAAGACGTGCTCTTGGACTGCAACGAAAGCGATCGACTGAGCGCTCGATTGCGCACCATCTTTTTCGACAGATTGTCCATCGTGCACTCGGTTTCCTCGTCTTTTTCCAAATGCAAAAACACTTCCTCCAGGGTGGTCATCGACACACCGTAGCTACTGATGCCGAGTCTGCTCGAGCGGGTCTTGATCTCGTGCTCGATGGCGGTAAACAGTGAGGCAAAGCTCTCCACAGAATTGTGCGGTAGAATGAAGCTCAATTCTCGACCGTGACGTCTCGCCTTCTCCGCTTTACTCACGTGCGACATCACTAACCGGTTGATAGCATGTTCCCTTGCGTTACCTTCTAGGACTAAACTGTAATTTTAGTAAAGTAATATTCATGAAATTGCGTCGATTTTATCTTATTCTTGCTATAAATCTATAAACTTTGTAAATTTTCTTTCGTTGAAGTAAAACCTAACGACATAATAATACGTAGTCTCATATATTTTGATGTTTTTTTAAATTAAAAGATTAAATTATTTAATTTTATTAAATCACAGTTAAAATAAATAGACAAAATAAGAAAATCTTTCTTCAAAACGCAATTTTTACTTCAAAATAATAGGATTTTAATTTTATAGAATTAAATGTTTTTGTATAATGCAACGAAATATTGCTAAGATCCTTACGTTAAGTGATATCCAATGCCAAACTTGTTCTTCAAGAACAGAGAACTGCCGCAACACCGGAGTTTTCCCTTGCTGATTACTGCTTTTCTATCTGCAAGAATATCCGCCTCATCCATGAAGTGAGTCGTCAGCAGAATCACCTTTCCATGTCGTCTCGATTGCAGAAAAGACCACATCTGTCTTCGCGAATAAGGATCCACCCCGGCGGTAGGCTCATCGAGGATAATGATTTTGGGATCGCCGATGATAGCGATTCCCACCGATAGCTTCCTCTTTTGTCCACCGCTTAGGTATTTCGCGAAAGTGTCCGCTTTTTCCAGTAGATCGATATCTTTCAGGGTTTTCTTCACCTGACAATCAAAGCGGTTAAAAATCAAGTGATTAAAAAATTAGTATTTTACTTTATTTATTGCGTTGCCTACTATCAAAGTTTTAAAATTTCAAACCGAATATGCGATGCAGTATTAATACCAACATTATACCATTCATAGTGTCTTGTGATATACAATAATATTGAATAATAATATAACTTGATATAAACTGCTTAAAAAAGTAAAAAATATAAACGTTCTAGTTTTTTTTTTTTTTTCTTAAAAAAATTACATCTTAATTTACATTAATCTGATTTCTGAACAAATTACTTCTATACTTCTATTATATGCATATTAGCCGAGTTACTGTATTCGTATGGTCATCTTTAAATGATATTGTTTCAAAAAGAAACGAACAAACATATGTACCTCGTGTTGTATCATCGAGCGTGGAATGCCGCGCACGGCGGCGAAGAATTCGAGGTGTTCGCGCGGCGTCAGTAGATCGAAAAGAATATCGTGCTGCGGACAGACCCCCGTCATGCTGCGTATCGCCCGCATGTCGTTGGAGTCGCGCACATCGTACCCAAATATAAGAGCCGTGCCAGAGGTAGGTGCGGTCAGACCTGTAAGAATGTTGAAGAGGGTGGTCTTGCCGGCGCCGTTGTGTCCGAGGATGGCGGTGATTTGGCCTTCGTAAATGGTAAGATTGATGCCGTTCACAGCCTTGGTCTCCGCGCGTCTGCATTTGTGATAAGATTTGTAGAGATCGGCTATTCTAATCGCCTCACGGCCCTTCATCTCTCGCACTACCGGCTCCACGTCGCGATTCGTCTCCTCGCCCGGAATGAAAGAGTTCGACTCGCCATTCGACGATGGTACCTGTAAATAGCTGTATGAAAACGATGGCCATATTCGATTCATTAACCAATTTCCTCGATTATTAAAAGCAAGGAAAAAAATAATGCAGCCCCAACGGGAAAATTTTAGATACGTTAAAATGTCTTCTACATGTTTTCACCAAGACTTTCGAACTTTTGCATTAATTATTTTAAACATTATTTCAATAATTTCATATGAGAAGATACACGAATATCAAAAATGTAATTTACCTACCCTTTGAACCTTTCTCTGACACCAAAATCCAGGTACAAAGCAAAACCAAGGTGGCATCTTGGTTCCGTACTCACCTAGAAATTGATCTCATTATTAGATTTTATACAGAGATATGTAGGTATCTTCACGTGCAAATAAGTCTTCTCAAAGAATGTGCGCAAAAATTATTTAAATGCAAAAAATATTCTCTTATATTTTTTCAACAAAAGTCGAGTATTTTTGCGCTGAATGACATTGTATTACGATAAATCGCGAAAAGATGTGAAAACGTACTTGGTACCACCGAATCGAAATAATAGGCCAGACAGCCATATAGGAAAATATCCAGAGTCATCATGATGAGACTACCGCCGAAGGGTATCCCAGGGCCAGACCACAGATTATCAAAATTCACTCCCTGACCTTGCAAATCCAGTACCAGAGCCTGCACAACACAATGCGGAGCTTTTTGAGATACACGATATATATTAAAAGTCCATATAAAGCTATAAAAGCACATTTACAATTTATCGTTAAATTATTTATATATAAATGTTGACTTACAAAATATTTCGTGATATAATATAATACAATTTATTTAATTTTTTCAAAATTATAAAATCACATATTATTTTGCGATTACATATCGAAACTTCGGGATGAATTATTATCGCAAAGTATTCGAAGTAAATATTCGAAGCTTACCTTGTCCATCGCCAAGGCGACTCCGGTTGGGCTAAGTAGAGAGACCAACCAGAAGCAGACCGAGCTAGAATCGTCTACGAATACTTGGATGAAGTACATTAAACTCAGTATCGTGACAGCAAAGTTGCCCAAGACACCAGCCGTCTAAAACAGAAGAAGATATTCTTATCATTTATATATATATTATATTTTTTTTTATTATGAGTAATAGATATATAATTATATTGCTAAGATCTCTAATTTAGAATGAGATTAGACATATATTAGGTATATACATATACAAATTGTTATAGAAAAGTTTCATTTTGAAAAGCCAAAACTTTATAAACTCAAAAATTACTTACACGCGACTTATCGAAGAACGGCGTGATCATGAAGGCGAACATGATTACGGAGAAACTGTATAGCACCACCAGAAGAAATATCGGCAGGAAATGAGTATGTTGAAACATTTGCAGAGTGAAAAGCAGTACCACTCCGACGGCGGAGAGCAAAAAAACGAAGATGCTATAGATGATAAACCATGACAACCTAAGAAGGAAAGAGATAGTACGTTAATTTAACATAAATTAATTTTTATCAGAATCATTCATTATATCAGAATTGGAAATTAAAATATCTGTCGATATTGTTTGCAGATATTTACAATCTTACCAAAACACAGAATCATTTAGGCCCATGATCTTCATCCCCTCCTTTATTTTATTCTCCTTCTCGCCGACTATCAAGATCAGGAGGTAAGTGATGAATTGTGAGAGCGCTAAGACCATGTAGAGAGGAATAACAACTCTGAAGGCTAGCATCCAGTCTAAAGAAATATCGTTGACACATAAAACGTATCGCACACATACATAAATAAATAAAGATTTTCTAGAAAGATTGTTTACCAGCGGTAAAAGCTTCCTTGGGAAACATCTCGAGTTTAATATCCGGCACAGTTACGTCCGAATTTCCCGTGTCCAACTACAAAAAATAACATCAAAGTATCAACGTATATCTCTAAATATTATCTTCCAATTGCAACATCAAATTTACCTTCTTATTTGGCAAAAAATGTGCAACAAACAAATATATATAATAATAATAGCAATAAGCTCAGGGTAAGAACAATTAAGTGGGAAAATTAGTAGATAAGAGCCAAGGCGCGAGTACCGGTACGCAAACTTATTATTGTTAAATTTTATTAGCTAATGTGCATTAAAAATGTACGTTTTGGACCTTTTTTTGATTATTAAAAATAATAATCAGAATTTTAATTAGAAATTTGAATGCAACTGCAAATGTTGTGTATGTCAAGTTTTAAAATTCCAATTTAATTTTTACATATTTATATCCATGCTGAAGATGGACCAAAAAACGATCAGAAATAATGCACATTGGTTAATAAAATTTAACAATAATAAGTTCGTGCACCAATACCCGCGCCTTGGCTCTTATCTCTGTCAGTTTTCCCAGTTAAATATATATAATTGATAGATATTTATACTAAGCTTCAAAGTGAAAAAGAAAGAAATCTTACTCTTTATATGATATTTTATTTCATTGGATGAAAAAGAAAAAAAGACTCACTCTTATCTTTGTGATATCCATTATCATCTGTAGAGCTAAGAAGCCAGAACGCAAGTAATTTTTGACGGGGCAGGATCCGCCGGTCTCTATCGACAAAATGCCGCCCATCCAGTGGCTTGTGTCTTTTCGACAGGTAACCGGAGCAGAATACAGTTCTGTTGGCGAAGGCGGCAAATGCGAAGGATTCATCCTAATTTCATATCTGCGCAATATATATAAAAAAAGTTCCATATATTAATAAGAAATGCTGATTCTTATATCATATTGAAGACTAGAATTAAGATCAAAAAAATTCTGATTTTATTTGCGTTTAATCTAGAAACTCTTTAATTTCTGTAACAATTTATAGCTAACTGTAATTTCTGTCAATTTTATAGCAATTTTTAGCTTGAAATATGCGGTAAAATATTAAGCTCCTCGTGAAATAAATACAATCAAAAACATTTATTAAAAATTGCATCTATTACCAAACTTAAATCTAAAGCTACTTTTTCTTTACGTTGTCAAAAACTAACCCAGAAAGAGTTTAAAAATTTTGCAAAGACAATTTTTATTTTCATTTCTCTTCATATATTGTTTATTATTATATTATATTAAATCTTTGATATATTTATTTCTACAAATTATTGATAAAAAAAATATTTGACGTAGAAATGAGAAATAAAAATTTGAAAATCCTTACTATAGGAAGTTTTTCTCTTTATCATGCATCACCATGTACTTTTTTCTTAAGAAAGAACCACGTACCTGTTCTAAATTTATGATTAACGATGTAAAAGTTATCTTACATGAGATACTGTGATATCGGTTGGGAATCCTCGAAGATAACTGCCAAGGGTACGTTGTACCCGCTGTAAGTCTCTCTCCAATATGCTGCCTGCAGATCCTCCTTCGTGTCGAACACCATGAAGTTTAAGGGAAGCTTATCGGGATAATCCCACATAGAGAGCCAGAGGGTGTTCATGGAGCTTAAAAAGCTCTAAGAAAATACATTGTTAACTTTGCATCGTGCGAAATTTCGCAATATCCGACAGAGATACCTTGAAATAGTTTATGTGGAATACAATATCACAAAAGCTAAATATAATGAGAAACATTATAATTTATAATAAATTCAAAAAATCGATGCTTTTCAGAAAAAAATATTGTCGCAATCTGACGTCAAATATAATCAAAATTTTGTACTTTAGTGTGAAGAAAAGTATATGAAAATGAAAATTCTGTCTTTTTAAACGCGCGGACGTCTTAATTTTTGCAAGATTGTATTTGACAGAGGAAAGATTATTTGAATAAATAAAATCATGGAAAATATTGAAACAAGATAAAATGATACATTGTTTTTATTTTTAGATATTTGAAATATTTTTCACATAATACTTAAAAAGTAAAAGCACTTGCATGAGATGCATGCTAATTTGACAGTTTAATATGCTGAGTTAGCAGTAATTTCCAGAAGTTAATACTCACGAGGGTTTCTGTAGAATTGGGTACCACGGCAATCGTGTTATTTTTGTGGCCGTTGAAAAATTTAAATACATCTTCTTCGTGCCTTTGCGTCGTCATCGCGGGGTAGTTTGGGTTTGGTATCAGGACCTTCACCACAATCAAGATCCCAAGAGTGTATAGGGGTAGAAAGATCTCCTGTGGGCAATCAAGCGATACTGATTTCGAATCAGGTAAATGCGCCCTTTATACGTGTTTTGTGGAATCGTTAAGAGTCAGTTCCTCGTTCGCAAGTAATAATTGGATAGCCTTTCTGGTCAAAGAAATCAAGCGCTTTCATGTCCAAATATAAAAAAAAAAAATAAGCATTTCAACTTTTTTCTAAAAAGAAGAGAGAAAGAATTTAGTAATATATTAATAATTTTATTTACTAAAATTTTTTAAAGATTAGTTGTAGTGAGAGAGATGAAGATTGCAGAAAAAAACGTAAAATCGAGAAAGATCTATTCTTTAGGAAGCTTATTTCAGGAATACGACCGTGTTCTGTAATTACACGGCTTATTCTAAATGAATAAAAGATCTCTCATGTTTTTTGCAGTTAATATTCTCAGTGTATAGCAGATAGAGTGGTTTTCCTCCGTTTCCCATTGCGCCCCTAAAAACGTAATGCGTAAATTCTGCATGGTAAGAAATCCCCCGCATGCGTGCATGCGTGCGTGTCCCGTAATTATTCGAGGTTCCGTTCGCGCACCTGCCGTTTCGTCTCACCGTTCGCAACACGATACCAAACAATATTCTCGACTATTTCGATGGAGTATATTTCTTTCTTTTGATAAATTGACAATCTCGTGACAAAAATTTTTCAGTATAAGTAATAAAACGGAGCTTTAGTCAGCAATAATAGAAAAATTTTACGTCAATAATTTAAATCTGCGGGGGTGATGAGATTCTCTAAACTGCAGTTCTAGGACATAGAACGTCCTAGAACAATCGTCATTTTGTTTCGCAAATTTTTCATCCAATTTATAAACTATATTTCTCTTAATAAAAAAATATCAAAATATAATTTTTATTTTATTAAATAAAAATTGATTAAAAATTGCAAAAGTCGGAAAAAATTTCATACTTTCTCAATAATTTTAATTTATTAGAAATTGAATCATAGCTTTTAATTCATTTTATTTTTATTAATTCATTTTTATTTTTATTAATATTATTTGACACTCAATTGTTACAACACAATGTTGAAAATTCAAGGATTGTGCAAAGAATAGCCAGTTCAATTTTTTTTTACGAAAAAATTAAAAAGCTTCAAGAAAGACTCAAATTAATCACCATAAATAAAGAAGTAGAAGATAGTAAGCCATCCCCGTACTTTGTTCGGGAATATTAGTGGCTTCGAGATTGCGTCGTCATGGCGATCAACAAGGAACGGACGCGGTGATTGCTAGAACGTTGGAAGACAGAAATCTTTTTTACATTGTCACAGGCGAGTAGTGTGGTGCAAAACTTTGCGTTTTTCCTACGCTTATCCCAGAGGTACCGACACGACGATTACGTAAAACGGATCGATGTAATACCAGTTACGAAGGCATCACAATATCCAATTATGCGAGCTGGCTTTATATCTCTTCTCTGCAAAGAATGATCGCGAGCGGAACAAGATAAAAATTCATATGGTAATTGTTTCCATCTGTGTATGACTTGATTCATCAGTCCTTTGTTACGTGTTTTAATTCTTATCCGATACAGTGAAAAACATTATATAAGGGAGAGAGAAAAAAAAGCGAGAGATTATAAAATAATAAAAGATAGAAAGATAAAGAAATGAGTTTATATAAGTATAAAATATATAATCTACTTATAACATGTTCTCTAAAGTATATATATACATTGAAATTATAGTTTATAAAACGTTGCTAACAATGCTGTAATCTTTTTGTCTTTCTTTTTGTTCGCCTCCTTTAGTATGTGACTAGTTGCTTCCAAAAATAAATAAATTATAAAAAAAATCAAAACACAAATATATTTTATAATAAATATATTTTAAAATTAAATTTCTTATCTCTTAAAGAGAAAATAAATTTAAGAATAATTAAATATTTGCAAAAGGCGGAGGGCAAAGACCTCGAGGCGATGTCATTCTTCGTGGACATTGTCACCGAGGATTCGTTCTACGAGAATCTGACCCTCGGTGTGGTCAAGATTCTCGAGAACTCCCCGTGCGTGAGAAACGTGCGGATCGAGAGACGAAACGGTTGCGAACCCGGGGCCATCAACAGCTGGGAGCAACGCCATTGCTGCGCGCTTCCCGAAGATGTTAGGAATTTCTATGCTTCCATCGACGGCTTCCTGCTGCAGTGGAATCTCGAGATAGCAGGTAACCTCGGTAACTATTCTAATCACGCACTCCCGATTCAACGTATTCATGTATCTCAATTAATCTTTCTTATCGTTCTTTATATTTTTTTCCTTCAAAATATCCAAAAATATACTATATAACTTTATACTCTATATTTTATATGTAAGTTTGTCTTTTTTTATTATATTATATTTATATTCTATATTTTTTTGTAAAATTATTAAAATAATTATTATTTTATTAATCTTTCTTTATATTTTTTTCCTTCAAAATATCCAAAAATATACTATATAACTTTATACTCTATATTTTATATGTAAGTTTGTCTTTTTTGTCTTTTTTT